TAGAGCGATGGACATGCAATCGCGATAGAGGAACATACGGGAATGTATCCGAGTGTCTCATCATTTCAAAACTTCAAATCCAAGTCAGGTGTCGTTATATGTGACAACTCAGCCCCACCATTCATAGGAACCATTCGACGGATCATTCGGCTACCGGTGCCGTGAGATATGCTACCGGGTGGTCCAAAGAGAAGTATGCCTCTTGGTGGTCTTGTCAAAGGGGAAGTGAAAAGCTGCGGGAACTTCTGTGGCATTATCAGTACTTCGGTGATTGTTTGTTTTGCGAACTTCAAACCTGCCAGTGGTAGACTCATCATCTGCGGGTGATCGGAAGAGCTCACCAGCAATATCCTCATCTCGAATGATGTTGGCTTCAGAAGGGCTCACTCGCAGGGCCTCGATCGCCTCCACCATCTCAGGTTGCAAATGGTCCAGGGATGAGCCTGATATGCCAACCACATCACCCCTACGGAAGTCTAGTTACCAACCTCTCATGCTGCCCTCATCAGTGTTACCCTCTCCTGATTTCGACCTAATCAACCGTGTAGACTCGAAGAGCTTCCTCCTCTCGATGTTTAGCAGTTTACCCCTTATTCAGCTGTCCACCACCACCATGAGCTCTCCCTGTAATCACCCTCGACAATATACTATCAGTAGCTTCTCCTTCTCTAGCCAATGACTTAGTCATATTCGATTCCTCGCTTACCACCGTCTCCCACTGCTGCCGTTTTGCACGAAGAGCCTCGCTCCTGGTGAGATGAAGCTCGGTAATAAGGGTTTCGCAGATATCATCAATATCGATATCTTCAGTCGAAGGCTCCCTCGTCACCGACACCTGTAGAGAGGATCTCTGAAACGACTATTCGACTGGCGGCTTGCTCTACACAATCCCCGTGGGAAATCACAGCAGCATGAGTATCTCACAATTCGCTGCCACAAGAGCTTCTCCTGTTCAGCACGATCGCTCAAGGGGGTATTCTGGTCTATCCATCGACGCTTCATGACCCCTCTCAGATACTCAAGGTCAGCCGTAGACGCACACTGCGGCATACCTCCATACTCCAGCAAAGTGAGAGCCGACTGAGAGCGTATGCATCATGGTTGTAGCCGGTAGTTACTGCTTCCCTTACCTCAATGCACTTCCTCGTTGCTGATGCATCAGCCTCCCTACTCTGTTGACTACATGTATCATGGTCTCGCAAATAAGTAAGTAGGGATGACAACACGTCAACGGGATTGGTGGACATGAGAAAATGGACCCTTACAACCGCATAGGTTGTAGTAGGTTATTCTAGTGTGAACTGACGACATCGTTGCTGGGCCAGGTATCTCGGAAAGGGGCTCCACTCAACCGATTTGCGAGTATTACGAAGCTGTGAGTTTGGAGGATTGACAACCAAAAAACCAAGTCGACCAGCATTGAAATCGATTTATGCACAGCCTCAAACGACACTATGTTACTTCTTATTAATGCATCATTCACATGAAGAGCATAACCCTTCATAACGGCTTGTTCTAGGCCAGAATAACTCAATTAAAAATAACAGTGTGCGGCGTTACACCACGTGGTCGCTCTCACCACCCGCGACCTTCGACGACGATCGACCATAATCATCCAAAGGCTCACACTTGGTTAGGACCTGAACACATCTGAATAGAGGTGGAGCCACCATGAGGCCAGATACATCTCCGAATGCTTCGAAGAGTAGACCAGCAGGCATGGCGAAGAGAGCCACTCCTAGTAGAGATACTACTACACAGAGGCACTTGCCTGATGGGGAGAAGTCTACCATACTCCATTCACCTGAATAATACGAGGTGCATCCAGCTCTATGCAGGACCGATTACCGCCTAAGAATACAGCTGTGTAATACATGCTAGAGGGTATTGAATCGAAAGGAGATGTGCCACTGATAGAGGAGGAATTCTCAAACTCATAGAAGAGGCAGGAGGCGAATAACCAGACCTGAACAGTAGGCGAGGTGAGATACGCTTGACTGGACTCCCTCTGAGGAGAAGGAGCTCACCACAGCTGCGATGACGCCGGTCGAGAGGACGGTGTCCCTACATTCGGACCATACCACTGACAGCTGCCGCCATG